CTACGCGCCTGGCACCGGGCCGGCTGTGTGGGGCCGTTAGCCGAAGAGGAGTCCCCCCTTCTTCCGAACATATGTCAGCAAGGGACTGCTGGATTTAAATGTGTGCTTTTGTATGGCTGCGGGTGTACGTGCGTGTGTGTATCTATAGGTACGTGTGTGTGTGTATATGTATGCAAATGTATACGTGTCATGCGGGGGGGAGGGGGGCGAGGAGTGTATGTTCATCGTTGGGTTTGGTTACCAGAGGTTTCGAGTCCCTCTGTCGCTCCCAAACCGAAATGTTTTGCTTCTGCTTGTTGGAAGTTACACAGGGGTATACAGCAGTTCTCACTTCCTGTAATGGTACATTAATATTACCATTGTAGAAGTTTTTTTATTAGACTGCGTTCTGGCTGCCAAGAAGGCCAATGGCATTCTGAGGTGCATTAGGAGGAGTGTGGCCAGCAGGTCGAGGGAGGTTCTCCTTTCCCTCTACACTGCCCTAGTGAGGCCCCGTCTGGAGCACTCTGTCCAGTTCTGGGCTCCCCAGTTCAAGAAAGATAGGGAGCTACTGGAGAGCGTCCAGCGGAGGGCTACAAGGATGGTGAGGGGACTGGAGCATCTCTCCTATGAGGAGAGGCTGAGGGAGCTGGGCTTGTTCAGCCTGAAGAAGAGAAGGCTGCGAGGGGACCTAATAAATGCTTACAAATATGTGAAGGGTAAGTGTCAGGAGGATGGGGCCAAGCTCTTTTCAGTGGTGCCCAGTGACAGGACAAGGGGCAATGGGCACAAACTGAAGCACAGGAAGTTCCGTCTGAACGTGAGGAAGAATTTCTTCCCTCTGAGGGTGACGGAGCCCTGGAACGGGCTGCCCAGGGAGGTTGTGGAGTCTCCTTCTCTGGAGATATTCAAGACCCGCCTGGACAAGAGCCTGTGCAGCCTGCTGTAGGTGACCCTGCTTCGCAGGGGGGTTGGACTAGATGACCCGCAGAGGTCCCTTCCAACCCCTACCATTCTGTGATTCTGTGGTTCTGTGATTCTCCAGTCTCTACCGTCTGTAGGAAGGAAAGCTGTCACTGTGGGCTGAGGTGCTTGTTACGGTACACTGCTTGCCAGACTGGTTATGGCAAAGCACTTTATTGTGTTCACTTTAATTGGGGTCTCATTAAAGTTAAGGTAGAAGAAATGCCGTACAAAAGGGAATTGACACATTGGAGTCACTAATTACTAATCTAAAAACTGGCTCTGTGCCCAGCCATGAAATTCAGCATTTCACCCTTGTATTGCTTTCATTTGAGCAAAACTGAAAAAATTTCAAAAAAGAACAAGGAGAAGAAATTCACTGGCAGCTTGTACGGTGACATTAATGTTTCCCTGTATCTCCTGCATTTACCATTATGTTACTGTCTCTGTATTCAGCAGCCATATCACGTTGATGGTTGGTGCTCATTTTGTAATCCATTATGATCTCATGGCTTTTTCATCCCCCTGCTTCTAAAAGATCACACCTTAAATTAGAAATAATTAATAGTCGTCTCTGAGCATGCGACCTTGCATTTTGTGTAGCTAAATGTCATCCCATAGTTGTTCTTGCCCTCTTCAAAATCAGTTACTTTTATATGATGTTATGTCTTTGATTTATACAAGTCTCTGTCATCCACAGCTCTCGTTAATGCATTGCCGTTTTCTGTGCCAAGGTCATTAATGCAGAGGTGAAATAAAAGGCTGATACTTTTAGAACTTGATTTCTTGCCTTTCACTCTAAGGACTGTCATGGTTTAACCTGGCAACTGGTAACTAAGCACCAGACAGCTGCTTGCTCGCTTGCTCCGCCTCTTCTCCGCCATGGGGTGGGGAGGAGAATGGGAAGAAGTAAAAACTCATGGATTGAGATAAAGGCAGTTTAATAGGAAAGCAAAGGAAGAGATAATAGTAATAATAATACATATACAAAACATGTGATGCACAAATGCAATTGCTTGCGGCCTGATGAATAATTCCCAGCCCATCCCCGAGCAGCGATCGCTGCGTCCCTGGCCCACTCCCCCAGCTTACATACTGAGCATGATGTCATGATGTCCCATGGTATGGAATGCCCCCTCGGGCCACTTTGGGTCAGCTGTCCTGGCTGTCTCCCCTCCCAGGTTCCTGTGCACCTGGCAGGCCAGGACAGCTAAAAATCCTTGACTGCCTAGCAACAACTAAAAATATCAGTATGTTATTGACATTATTTTCATCCCAAATCCATAACAGCTCTGCACCAGCTACCAGAAAATTGTTCTGCCCGAAACCGGGACAGGACTTTCCCTCTGAGGAAATAAGCACACCCAAATGTTCATGCTGTTGAAGCTGGATTGCTTTTAGTACGCAAATTTACTTGGTTAAATCTGGATTGACACCACGTGCAGTGGTGTATCCTGAGCAGGCATCAGGAGTGTGGTGGTATCCTTACCTGCTGGTTATGTCAGGGTCAGGATGTTAGAATGCAGATTCAGGAATCCAAGTGATTTCATAAAAATAAGAATTCTCCGGTGCTGGAAATGTTTAATTTGACTATGTTGTCTAAACCTTTTTTGAAAGCTAGCAGAATTGGGGTTCTTTCTGAGAATTTACAATGAATAAAGGAAGGGAGAATATGCATGATTTTTCTCTTTCAGCTGGAAGAGTTAATGGGACTTGGTGTCCTGTCCGCAAACAAGGCAGGGATGGGTTCGAGGTGACTGTATCTCACTAATGGCTTTATACACAACAGCATTCTCCTCAACTCCAGAGAAACTGGTTCATTCCCCATTCCCGACAAAGTCTGTCCTTCTTTCCCATGAGTGAAACCAGAGAAGAAACTGGAAACAGGAAAATAAAATTAAAAAAAAACCCAAACCAGAAAATAAAAAAAAGAAAGTATCCCTCTGGATGCTAAGATGTGACAGGTGAATCAAAATATCTCTTGACAACGCTTCAGGGAAGTCCCTCTGGTTGTAAATAGCATTGCAAGAGAGAAAAGTACTGCAAGGCATAGGAGCTATTCATCCCACATGCATGTATTATATAGGCAGCCACCTGGCTGGACCTCATTTAGTTGGGTGAAGAGACAATAAACAGAACAATAAGAAAGGAAGTGGAATGTAAAAAGTACAAAGATATTACCAAGATCTATTGATCAGCATTTAACTGCCTCAGCAAGATGATCGCTTTTTGCACCAAATGGTAGAATTGTTCTAGAAGGTGCAGCTGTTTCTTGAAAGAAGATGGAACATGCGAAATCAGTGGGGGGTGGAGGGAGGTATTTGTTTCTTAAGTATTTAATCCTATATGGAGGCATTTCCTTGCCTGTAGCTGGAATACAATTTCCTAATAAAGATTTTTCTGAGTTGTCTTAGTTAATTACCATAATTATTATACCTGTATGCAACATGGGGGAAAAAAGGCTCCTTGGTAGTGTTTTCTAGCCGCTTTCAAAGGAGTAAAGGACAACTTAGAGTGCAGTATACTGGAGAACTGTGTTTAAAGCAAGGTTGTTTAGCCTCGTTTTTCTTGCCTCTTTGTTTCTTATTCTCCCTTGTAGTCTCTGTTATATACAATATATTGGTGAGCATTCAATTAAGAGTAGCCCCGTGATACGGAACTGGGAATCACAATTTCCTGCTCATCCAGTAGCAAGTAAAGATGGCCACAGTTCAGAGTCTGGCCGTAAAATTAAGCTGCAGTGTTTGTGTTTTTGAAAGATTTCTCTTTTGCTTCTGAAGCACACGGTGCGTCTTAAAAGCTTTTAACCTTCGTATGCATATCTTACATTCCTGAGTTCATGTGTCATTTGGAGAACAGCAGTTTTTATGCTACAAAACAAGTGCCCATGTGGCAAAAGGTTATCACACAAGCATCCAGCCTAAGAACTCTAGGGAAGTGTCAAATCTGAAATTTTAAGAAATGTAGAAAATATCTCCCAGCTGCAAAGCATGTTTTTAGCCTTGTCAGTTTTGGGCTGAATAAGGAACGTTTAACTTCCAAGAATATTTGCTGCAAAAGCACCGAAGCCTTTTAGCAGGTACCCAGAATATTAAATCTTGGCGCTCTGCAAACTTTTCTTCTATGTTCGCAAGCAATGAATTAAACAAATGAGCATTGCCAAGCAACGTGTGATAGGAGGGAGAGAGTGAGGCGAAGGAAACACAGTGTTTCTCCAATGAACCACTTCCATATGGAGCGCATGGATAACAGCCTGATTCCTTCTGCTCTTAGCAAGTCTGTGGTTTCACCCGATGGACCGAGTAGTGCTAAACCCCACGAAAAAGGAGAGGTCCTGTTTTTTCCCCACCTTCTGCCTCACTCTGTTCCTGGCCTCCTGCCTGCTTGCTGTTCCTTGCTCTGGCTTTGTT